ACCGCGAGTGGCCGGTCCCTGCAGAAAGCGGTCAGAGTGGCCTGCCGTCGCGAACTCAGCTGGATTTGGCCGACCAGACTCACCGCTCGCGGCGGGACTCGGCCTATCCGACTCACCACTCGGCAGGGTTCGCTCCGAGACAGACGACAGACGTACCAGTTAGCCAGGATCAAACGACCGAAATATCCGGAACGGAAGCTCACTATGGGAGAGGAAATTGTACTACAGAGATAACCTTTCGGCGGACGAGCGTCTACCGTCACTCTAAACCATGTCTTTACATGTATGTATACTACGAGCTACACCTATAAATGTATGTAAGCTAATGGCAATGAAAGGTAACGTCAACGTCGGAACAATTGATACTCGATATTTGGGCCTTAAGTGTCGACAAATACGATGAACAAATTCACAAATCACGATTCCTTGCACGATTCATTGAAAGTCTTATTTGGATTAGCCTAAGCTTCGGAGATCTGTAAACGCTCAGTTAGCGAGATAGCACGAGACCATCGCTTGGTTATCGGCCTGGGACCTTTGGCCTTCCTCGGCCGTCTGCATAATCAAATGCTTATGCTGCATTAATTTTGCTTTGTGTTGACAGTTGTGGTTGAGCTCCTTCAATAATTTTCGAAAGATCTCACCAGCACATAGCAACGCCGTTCACATATAACGTCGACTTCTCGGCAATTCAACAAGAAACATTCGGCCAGATACATCTGCGTAGCTCAGAGCGGCACTTCTGAAAATGGCGTTGGCCACCGTTCACATCGGCTGCAGGATGACGCATGAGCGCTCGTTCCGGACCGGCGAGCGGTGGCCGACGCCCGGCCGACGCCCGACGGCGCCCTCAGGTCAGCCTGCGTCGTCCGACCTTCGCCGCCGACCGCCGTCGATTCGATTACGAGCGCTCAGGCGCTGCATCTGCCGGCCGCCGGACGGCGCAGAGGCCCCGAGCCTCCGAAATCCGGCCGCAGACGTTTGCATAATTCAGGTCGACCGGGCCGGCCGGGGCGACCGAGCCCTGCGGCGGTCTCAGCCACCGCACAACAGAAGATTCATCAGGTGAAAGGGTCGACGGAAGACTGGAAGTGGCGTGTGACACGACTGACCGATAGCCGTAAAATCGAACTGCGAAGTAGGAGAACACAGCTCTGAGCCCTATTCGTATTTGGTGCAGATTTTGTACGAGACCAACAAGTTGTCTACCCAATGTTGAAATTTTGTAGGAGAAGCATGAAAAGCGAAGTTCTAAAAGTTCTAAAAAGGAACTGAGTAAGGCACCAAGGCATGCTCGTATGTGGTGACACCATTATAACTTTGGATCATGGATGCGAAGCGTCTCGAAAGTTTTTCCGATATAATGATAAGCGTGCGACAGAAAGGCTTCATTCTTTTGTTAAAAATGCGCTGGTATTTTGAGATCAAAGCTTGTAACTCATTTCTAGGCCATTAAAACATAATCGGCGCAAGTTTTGTTAGAATGAATCTTGTACAGAAAAAGAGTCGATAGGAGAAAAGCCCACAAAGGTAGAAGACACAGTTAACCCGCGCCCTGATGGGGGGCATTTTGGACCCCTGTGGTTTTTCTTAAATAGCGAGAAAACGGCGGCGCGCAGCGCCGCCAAATTTTAAGTACCTTCCCGGGCATCAATTTGACACCTTTAGTCTTTACACATATTTTCAAGTCACAGGTCACCTTGGGTCAGGAGTTATTGAGGTCAAACTGAGGTCATGTTCGAGTAAAAATGAGCAAAAAACATGACATCTTGAAACGCTCACCAAATCTGCAGTTTACAAGCAATTTTAAAGTTCTTTATGTAGTTGTGTAGAGAAAAAACGGCGCTAAAAATTGCTATCTCAGATTTTCAAAATTTTGGGTTTTGATCCCCAAAAATAAAAAATGATTTTTTTAAAGAAAAACTCAAACAATTCCCAAGAAATTTCGAATTTCGGAAAAATAGGAATATATGTGATAGTCTCCCTGCGCTCTTCGATATACATACTAAATTTTAGATCGATACCTCCTTTTTTGGCCAAGTTATAGCGAAAAAAAAACTGTTCAAAATTGATGACGTCAAATTTTGGAACTCAAATTTTAGCAATTCTAGACCACTAGCGCAAAACAAAGACCACCATTGAACTCCCCGTGACGAGCTACATCGAAACGATACCAATTTTATGCAAAAATATCAACTTTGAAATTTGACCTAATTTAACCTGACCTTGACCTGACCTTGACCTGACCTTCACCAAAGCATAATCTCAACTGACCCCAAAGGGTGCCTGTCCCACAGAATCGCATTTGGCATATAAAATGGACCATAAAACATGCATCGCATGATATTTTTATACTGTGACCCTCAGTGACCTGACCTCTGTGACCTGACCTGGTATCAGTGACCTCAGATAGCTAAATATGTGTTTGACGAACATTTCCCCATCGATGATTTTCAATGAAATGCATTTTACTCGATTTTACAACGCATTTCTTGAAATGCCTGTAAATGGTGAAAATTTGACCTTTGACCTGACCTGTGACGTCATCGGTTAAACCGAGGTCAATGAAATTGGGTCACAAGGTAGTTCCCCGTTGGGGCTATCCAATGCCGTTTACCGCTTGTCGCTATGTTGCGTGGTTGCGTGGTTAAAATGTCCCCCCCCCCCATCAGACCGCGTTGCTCGGCAGACCCCATCAGGGCGCGGGTTAAACTAACAACGCAGACTTACCGTCTAACCAGACCCTTACTCCTGCAACACCTTTACGTCACTCTGGGTCCTGACCCCTGTCCACCAGAGTAAGAGCTCTTGGCGTCGCGTGTCCGTCTCAGGATCCGGTGCGGCAGGCGAGTGAGGTCCGAGACAGCCGATCGGATGAGGGCTCTCCTGATCAGGAGGCGAGTGCCAGCTGGACGGTAATCCGGCGCGTCCGGGGCGTCGTTTTTGTCGACTGGCGGTTTCCGGGAGGGCACTGGGCAGTGGGCAGTGATTCGTCCGGACTTCATCTGGCCGTCCGACGGTGGACATTAATCACGGGCTCCGGCGCAATGGAGCCCCGGGGTCGAGTATCGATGTATCGGCGAGTTCGGAGGCTGCTTGTGGGCTTTAGGGCTGTCCTTAGGTTAGGTTTTCTGAAGTGATGTGGTGATTCGACATTGCATGATCTGGCTCTAAAAATTGCGTAACATATGTAGGAAAGATGCATCATGTGAAAGGTACGCCAAAAACTGCGTCGCTACGAAGGGAGAACCATAAAACACCGTTTCCCATCATGGCACGGGTCAAACTTGAACATCCAATCCTCACCAAAACCCGGTGAGTATCGCCTGATTGGGCACTATGGGCAGAAGTGTTTAATACTTAATAGCACATCAATATTGACCTTGCGTGGACTTCAGCTTTGTTAATCGAATCCATACATTCAGATACTCGAGCTCTTATAATAGGAATGTCAGAGTTAGTAGCTGTTTAAAGGGACCCTCCCACCTTCAAAAACGTTAATGAATTGGCATGAAAGTGATGTCGCTCGGTTCAGGAAGAGCGAAAACGAATATCTACCAAATTTCATCGAAAAATATTCACCGGTTTTCAAGATATTAGACTTTTACTATTGTTTACTTTCTGGGATCTCCGCTGTTCCTAGCGACTTTATTTGAAAGTGCGGCATTTGTTGCGCGCAAAGCAGCATATACCACCGCGTGCTACCAAACGTTTTAGTAAAAGATTTAAAAATCGTTAGACCTCCGCTGACGTCACAAATTCTAAGGGGGCATACCAATGCATTAGCCCCTTAAAATCCGAAAACTGCAAGTTTGAAATTCCATATCTCCGAATTAAAGCATTTTTCGATGTTGTGAGTGCCCAAACCGGTATTTTCAGGCCATGGCCACCAATTTGGCTATCTCAACTCAAAACTAATGTTAAGGTGGGAGGGTCCCTTTAATGTTATTTATTGCAACGCATTGTCATAATTGCGTATTGTTTGCATGCTTCGCAACCGCACCCATTTTAGCCCTGCATATATTTGTTATCTACCATTGAAAATGTGTTTTAGGTGTCAATGGAATAGACATGCCTGAACTTTTGTTGCAATATTTTGACATTTTATTTCACTCAAGCTTGAGTGGATGGATAATGGCTCCCTCGGCTAAAGCCTGTCTTTTTTACTTCAAAATACAAAGTGCCGACGACTTGCACATTTGGAAGCGATTTCCTCAAGAATTTATAGCTTTATTATTGACGAACGCATCTCTTTTGAATTATTTGCTATTATGCTGAGAACTTTGCGCAGAAATTGCGTTTGTGGCTGACAGTTACGATTAGTTGCCCATTTTTCGAGCACGCCAGAACTATTCCGAAAGGCGTAAGCACTTATATAACCGAATAGTTTATGCCATTTGAACTAGACCATGATTTCAAACATATTTTCTATCACATGAGGATTTTTATCACATATCACATTTTCTACATTCCTCTGAATCTTTGGCGGGGGCACCTGGCTATGACCTAAAGTGGAATCCCGGTCTAAGTTGGGTGGTTGAAGTTTCCGGCCGCTGCGTGTGACGGTTGTCTCTGGTGCGGCCCCATTACTACTCTCCGGGTGGAGCAGCGGATCACGGCTCCGGCCGGGCTCTCACAGCGCCGCGGCCGCGCCAGGTCTGCCCAACTGGCAGTTAACTGATTGATGGCTGGCCCGGCGGCAGGCGTGGTTAAAGACTCTCGCTTCGATCGCGTCTGACCCTGGCAGCTGGGGGCGCCGGCCGAGAGCGCGCGCCCCGGCGCCCCGGCCGGACGCTCATCGGGGCACCGGACGTCGGTCAGCCTCGTCCGACCTTCAGGTGGCCTGCGTCTGTGACATCCGGAGGGATGTGTGCCTGGAGCTCCGTCAGCGGACGACCGCCCGAGTGTTCGACATCACCCGGCGGTGGCGGCGGCGGCGGCGGCGACCGAGGATCGATCCCTGGGGTGGGCGCTCGACAGTGGCTGGCTGGTGCCGCCGGTTCAGTCGCACTCCGGGCCTGCTCGGCGCTGGGTCAGCCGGCGACCTGTGCCGACCCCGGGTCACTCTGAGGAGTGCAGTGGTGACCGCCGAGTCCGACCAGACTCTCACCCAGCCAGCGGAGTGGTCAGTCGACCCGCCCGGGCCCGGACTGATTCCGAAACGAAGTTGATTACTGTAACCAAATTACGCTCCGACCGAGAGTAGCACGGGTCGCTGAAATTGAAACACTCGAGAGTTGCGGCGAGGTCAAGTGGCGGAAACTGAGGCTCGTCCGACACCTCCGGTCGCAATTCTGAGCTTCTGATAAGCGCCGAGGGAGAACTGCTCTGCCGACTGTGCCTTACCCGCTCTGCCATGTTCTCCGCACCATTCGACCCTGCGCTGGCCCAGTTCAGACGGCATTGATTTTACGCCGGCGACAAGCGACCGAGAGACGGAGATAGGGAGGACGGTGTGCGGCGGCGGCGGCGGTCCAGAAGCCAGCCGGCGCGTCTCAGACGGCGAGCAGCTACTCGACGTGCTGATGTGCCACATATCACGGTGAGAGGGGGGTTCCATCCTGGCCGGTCATGGCATGGCCGCGTCGGCCGTGACCTGGGGGCCGACCGTTCCCAGCGGAGCTGTGACCGGGCCGGAGGGCGGCGACAGCCCGCTGCTGGCCGGAGACGCGGCCGCCACCTCCGAGCCGCCGCCGCCGCTGCCGCTGCCGCTGACGACCCTGCTGCTGAAGCTGGCCGCCATGACGGCCATCATCGTGATGGCCGTGCTCGGCAACCTGCTGGTGATCGTCAGCGTCCTGCTGCACCGCAGGATCCGAGTCGTGGCCAACTGCTTCGTGGTGTCGCTGGCGTTCGCCGACATGCTGGTGGCGCTGTGTGCCATGACGTTCAACGCCAGCATCCAGATCACCGGCCGCTGGATGTTCGGCTACGTCATGTGCGACATGTGGAACTCGTTCGACGTGTTCTTCAGCACGGTCAGCATCCTGCACCTGTGCTGCATCAGCGTGGACCGCTACTGCGCCATCATGCGGCCGCTCGAGTACCGCTCGCGCATGAACAAGCGCACGGTGGCGGCCATGCTGACGGCCTCGTGGACGGCGCCGGTGCTCATCTCGTTCCTGCCCATCTTCCTGGGGTGGTACACGTACCAGTCCCACCTCGACTACCGGGCGCGCCACCCCAACATATGTCAGTTCATCGTCAACCGCACCTACATGCTGGTGTCGTCGACCATCTCGTTCTGGCTGCCGGGCGTTGTCATGGTGTGCATGTACAGCCGCATCTATCAGGAGGCGCGCCGCCAACACCGGGCCATCAGCCGGGTGCCGAGCAGCGCGCGCTTCAGCGCCGCGCACGCCGCCGTCAACCTGGCCGATATGTCGGACGAGCAGCTGTCGCTGGCACTGACGGCGCTCAACAACATACGCGAGGAGCCCGAGCCGGAGCCGGCCGCCGAGCTCATGTCGCCCCTGTCCGCCGGCGAGGGGCACGGCGGCGGCGCGGCGGCAGCGGGCGACAGGCCGCCGCGGCCGCACCGGCCGCCGCCGCTCTCCAAGAAGGCGTCCTCCGTCTCATTCGGCGAGAAGCTGGACTTTTCGCGCAAGACGTCGACCAACTCCCGGCTGGGCCGACTGCGCTACTCCACCAGCCAGATGCTGCGAGAGCACAAGGCGGCAAAGACGCTGGGCGTCATCATGGGCTGTTTCGTGCTCTGCTGGCTTCCGTTCTTCTCGTGGTATGCCACGACGACGCTGTGCGGCCGCGCGTGCCACGTGCCGCCAGTTCTGGTCGACATCCTCTTCTGGATCGGCTACTTCAACTCGACGCTGAACCCCATGATCTACGCGTACTTCAACACCGAGTTCAGGGAGGCGTTTCGGCAGACTCTGTCGCTGCTGTGCTGCCGACGGCGGACCGGCGCCAGCTCGCTCACCAGACCGTCGAACCTGAGCTGCGTGCCCTCGGCCGGTGACGGTGGCGGCGCGGCGCGCCCCCGGCCCTGCCGGACCCCCACTCTGCAGTCTTTCCCGGGCCGCGCGGCGCGGTGCGAGTGACCGCACGCCGACCTCATCCCACACACTCTGCCCCATAAGTGATCCGTCCACTGTCCCTGGAGGAAGGGGGCCCATAACCAGAGCGCGGGACGCCGCGAATATGTATTTTTGAACGGTTTGCGTCAGCGACGCGAGGACGGGTGCCCCTTGTTGCGTGTTTGGTTACCGCTGTTTGAAACTGTGACCTGCAGCCACCATGGGAACATCGGCTCGGCCTGCAGGCTGCCGTGCAGTGTGCTATAACCGAGCGTACCTGGCTGTTCGATAGCTCACCCTACATTGACCAATGCAATGGTTCAATACATCCTCGTGTGAAACGGCAAATTTAAATGGCGTTGCCATGTTTGAAAATAGCTATGACATGAAAGCAACAATGATGGGCAAACACCGACGAAGATACAGTTCAGTTGTGCATAAGACAGACACTGTAATACCAAGGCATATTCCAATGTGTTTCAATTAACTTGCAGCGTAATTCGGAGTGATCGATGCGACCATTTTAACAGATTACTTCTACCACAATAGCCTATCAAATATCACGTAAAGCTAATGAAGACGTGGGCGTAGGTATATTAGTTGTGCGCCCATATAGGTAGTTCACTTCTCATCGGAATCACTCCATAACATTTTCACATTTTACTGTCACAGTCTGTTCACAGTCCTAGCCAGGTTTATCCGTTGCCGGTATGACGGAAATCCAGGGCTACACCAGGAGCAGATGGGCACAACATCTCCAGGCCGTAACCGTTTGTCGTTTCAGCGATTCAAACAACTTTGCAAATCGTCTTGACGAGAGGAACACAAGGCCGGGAAAAGTAGCCTCGTGCAAGGCTTGGGTCAGAAGTTATTGCAGAAAAACTGTTTCCGAAAAAATCGGCTGTTTTTGCGGTTTTTCTCGCAGGCAAAACCGTTGACTTTAAGTTAAATCTGAGAGGATTACTTAGAAAGAGCGTTAACCCGCGCCCCACTGGGGGTCTGCGTATAACGCGCCCTACTGGGGGGGGGGGGGGCTATTCATAGTCCCCCCTCTAACGCTGAATTTACTGGGCCGATCGTCAAAATTCAAGTGGCTTCTGATAGCCCCGGAAAAATTGTCGAACGAAGCCTAATTTCATTGACCTCGAGATCACCGATGACGTAACAGGTCAGTTCAAAGTAAAAATTAGCGATAATTGGCTTGTTCACATTTTGGGCTCTGGTCTTACAAGTCCGATTGGGCTTATTTTTGGTTTAACACTCGTGAACAGATGCTTAAGATACCCTGAGGGTGCCAAACTTGTACTTTGATTTTCAGGTCAGGGTCAGGTCATCACAGGTCACGGAAATCTTATGTCATGCATCGGTCACGTGACGCATGTTTTATGGTTCATTTAGGCCATTGATTTCGAATTCGATGTAGTTCATGTCATTCGAGCTCATTCTGAGCCGAATTTATCCTAGGTCAGGCCACTTTCAGGTCAAAAAAGGTCAAATTTTAAAGTTATTTTTTAACTAAAAAGTGTCTATTGGATGCAGTTTGAGCTAAATAAACACGATAGTGCTATTTATATTAGTGTACGATGTCAAATGCGTACTGAAAAATTGATTTGAAAAATTCATCATCGTGAAATTTTTGCTATAATGCGTATAACATTGCCATTTTTGAAGATATCTGGTTTAAAACTTGCTAAAATAAGTCATCGGCATGTGTTCTATCACATATACTCTGTTTTTTGTCGAAAAGTCAAAAGCTTTTTGAACAAAAGGTAAAAATAGAAATTTTAAATTATTATATATGTTACAGGCAAAGTGAAAACTCGGGCATTTTGCAAAATGCCTAGGCAATTTGCAAAATGCCTGACCCGCCAGGCATTTTGCAAAATGCCCAGGCAGTTTGCAAACTGCCTGACCCACCAGGCATTTTGCAAACTGCCTGGGTTTCCATAGTTATTCCACCGTTTTTGTTGACAATAGGCGTTGATCATAACCGTTCCACTGCGACTGACCCCACAACACATTTCACATGTGTTGTGGGCACATGTGTGATGTGACACATTCCACGGTCACGAATACAGGGTGTCGCGAAATTGTTGCGGGATGTTGTACTTGTGTCCCGAAATGTATTGCATCGTAGTTGCGTCAGTGTTCTCCAGCACCTCGCTGACAAGTTATCAGCGGCCACATGGTCTGTCCCCGCGGCACCTGGTGAAGCTCAAATAGGCCTCTGTAGCCCATCATGCCCCAAACGAGAATCCGGTAGAATCGGTTAGTGACTAAGAAGAGCTCTAATAGCCGTTTTCACGACGGGCTATCCGGCGAGTGCACCTAATTTGACGAAATCTGCACCTAATCTCTTTTACAGCAAATATCTTTATTTTATGAATTTATTTGTGTTTTTACTGATGATGCTCGCTGAATATGACAAAGGAGGCATATAAGCAATTAGAACAACCCAAGCTGATAGCTACTAAGAGACACACTGAACCTAATTTGACCAAATATGCACCTAATCTGCACCAGATATGAACCAAATGTGTACCAGATGGCCGTTGTGAAAACGGCTAATATCGCCTCACGGCCTCATCATTGAAAAGTCTGAATCTCTAGTCCTGAATGGTCGAGATTTGGTGGGTTTTGTCGAAATCCAGCTGCATCACTTATGGATGACGGTAAGTCAGGGTTGCAGCCAGAGGTTGAGCGGCTTCAGCTTCAGGGTAAAATCTTCAGATACCGGGGGATGGCCGATTTAGATGCCGAGTGCCCTGGTCGAGATGCCCTGTTTCCAGACCCGTTCAAATAACATCCATTCAGCACTCAGAGGGGCATCGAGGGACAAGACCGCGCCAACCGCGTATCAAGTTCGTGACATTCTGTATACTAGTGATGTCAATTACGGAAAATCGTGATACCGATACCAAACCAAATGCCAACAATATCCATTGAAAAATACCGAAACCAAACCGACTTGGGAATATGAGGAAAATACCAACTTTTTACCAAATTCTCAGCCTCTTTTACATTAGTGAGGATTCATAATACCAACAAAATACCAAATGCACTCGCCTTGAAATATCAAATACCAAGTTGGTATCGGTTTGGTATCGGTATACCAAAAAGTTGGTATCCGATTGACATCTCTACTGTATACCTACGTCTTGCGTCAATTCTGTCGAGATGGAGCCAACGCTGAATGGACTTGAGCGACCGTCTCCGTATCTTTCGTATATACGGAGTTGTAGCCGTGCCTGTATAAAAGCTGCGATGTCCAGTATTCTGCCCTGGTGGGCAACTGTTCCGGCAGAGACGATTGATAATGTACCTAAACGTGTAGCAATCAAATTTTCGTAAATTGGAAGAGTATTCTTTTCTAATCAATATCCACCCAAAGTATTTTCAAAAAGCCACCAAGAGCTCTTAGAAACAGTATTATCATTGTACCGAGCGCATGTTTACCCACGAAACCACGCCCGGTGCTCGGTACCCGACGGCCGCTGGGGCTCAGTGACCTGAACTCGGCGGCGCTACCCGGAGAACGTAGTGTCCCCTCCCTCACTTGGTGCGCATTGACAGCGATTAACTTTTGTAAGCGGCATTTACAAATGATGCTTACCTATACATCGTCGCTAGTGCGAGTTTGATGTCAGGCATTTTGCAAAATGCCTGGGAAAATATTTCAGGCAGTTTGCAAAATGCCTGGTGGGTCAGGCAGTTTGCAAACTGCCTGGGCATTTTGCAAAATGCCTGGCCGGTCAGGCATTTTGCAAATTGCCTAGGCATTTTGCAAAATGCCCGAGTTTTCACTTTGCCTGTAACATATATACTTTTTAAAATTTCCAAGGTTTTGAAATTCCGAGATAGTAGTTTCATAGCACAGTTTATTTTGAGTCCTCACATGCAAAGAAATTGGATCTAGCTTAAAAACTAAGCTCTTGGGAGCGATTGCCGTGGTTCAATGTTTTGCTCCGAAATCGGCCGAACATGACATCACTCTCACGTCATTGCCGGCTGACCTATGGTAGTTACGAAGTTCATATTTTGACACAAGGTGTCAAATTGTAGTGATGTCAATTTCAGAAAACATATGTCCAATGTCCGTCCAATGTCCAATACTTACGTCGACTGTCCGTCCAAAAATGTCCAAGCCAGCCATTTGTCCAAAGATGTCCGACATCTACGCAATAGTTTACACTCAACACCGTTATTTAATTTGCTTTTAATGTATCGTTACCAGCTCAAAAGTGGTAATCATATCGAAAGCTGAGCTTTCTAATAGACAATCAATGCTAAACACAATTACTACATAAAAATGTTGAGGTGTAGCAAGCGATTGTCCAAAGTTGTCCAAAGCCTGCTGTCATTGTCCAACCGAATTCCGAATTGGACATTGGACAAAATCGGAATTCCGAAGATTCAAGTTCCGATTGACACTACTAAAATTGATGCAGCCGAAGGTACTTAAAGTTTGGCGTCAATACGTCAAGCGGTTTAGAAGTTATTGCAGAAAATTGAGAGGGGGCTATGAATAGCCCCCCCCCCACCCAGTGGGACGCGGGTTAATAGGGCTATCGAATGCGCTTTTCCGCGGCGCTGTAGCTCTATTGGTTACCGAGTTATGCGTTGGTTTCTTGGAAATTGTCGACATTCGACCTGAAAATCGGCGAAATTTTGCCTTCAATGACCTCTGGTGACCTGACCTTTGACCTGACCAAAAAAGTGACCAAGTGATTTCGTCAGAATTTTCGGTGTTCTGTCGAACGCCGCCTTCCGTGTATCGCTACGTAGCCCAGGAGCCGAGTTAGAGGGGGGAGGGGGTGTTCAAACACCCCTCCAGTAGGGCGTGGAAATCCAGGACCCTCAGTGGGGCGCAGGTTAATGCATTTTGCCCCACCTATAAAAGAGCTGGAATATTTTTGTCTCGGGTGGTAGGAGTGGAGCACAGCGGACGGAGCAGAGTGAACAGCTCCTAATTCTACAAGTCGCTTCAACTTGAACAACACACGTGCCAAAAAATGCAATTAAATGTTTTTCCATGATTGTCTTTTCTTTGTTTACCTATAGGCGCGAAGATGAAAAACTAAACATCCATCCTCGCTTAAACCCTGGCACCATCAAATACGCTAGTCGTACATGGGACAACTATTTTGTTTATCATATTGGATCTTTGGAAGTCGCCAGTAGCGTGGCCGCTTTGCCCCACGGTATGGGGCAAGGTGGTCAAAATGCATCAGTGTAAAGTTTTGCCAATATCTTCCATGTGTCAACGCCTTTAGAAATGACTACGAAGTTGAAATAAAAGACAAGGGAACACATTGGAACAGAAAGAATC